TGCTTATGAGTTACTTTAATTACCAATTGTGTTACCTGCCTGGCTGTGCAGTGTGGCAGATGTGTGTACACCAGAATACTGGCTAACAAGCATTACAAACCCCTTGGCAAGGTAATAAATGTTTGAACCGTGTATGTAGCCATATCTCTGACTTCCACCTTAAGGCTCCTTTTATTAATAAACATGCGTCATGATTAGTGATGGGCTCGGGCGTGTTCGCAGCTCCACGTGCCGAGCCCGCCAGGAAGCTGACAGCGCCAATCACAGGCACTGAGACATATCCCGATCTCTGCAGATGTGGACCTGGATAATGTCTCAGTACCTGTGATTGGCGCTGTGGCGCTGTCAGCTTCCTGGCGGGCTCGGCACGTGGAGCTGTGAACACGTCCGAGCCCATCACTACACACCAAGCTGTGGATTCAAATGTCATGCTCCAGCATTGTGCATTCTCACTGGATACACCAGGTATTGTTATACTATTGAACATGCCCTGTAACCAACAAGTAGTTTGAATTCTTATCTGCAGCAATTTTACATTCCATCAAATATTGTTATTCTTTTGCAATGACCTCTGAACTTGTTAGAAAGTGGATTCCCTAGCACAGCCTACTCGCAAATCACAGCCCTCTCCTCTTCCAGGAGTTTCCAATTACTGCCTATGCTGGGCTAGCTCCTCCACCCCTCCTTTAACCTCTCTACATAACCTTTTATGTAGCTCCCAGGGGTGGAGTGAAGGGGAGTACTTAAAGCATCACTTGAGTGACGGCTTTAATTCTGCTGATATCACCGATATCACATCCAAGATGGCGGCACCCATCAGCAGCTGCCAGGGGAGGAGTGAAGGGGAATACTATACAGCGGCTTTCCCTACCTTTTAATTCCAGTAAAACCCTTGAAATATTTTAGGTCTCAGGGAACCCCTGTTAAAAATGATACCTACAGCTCACGGCACAATAGTGCAATGAATATGTTTTTAAAAAATAATGTAGTACTTACCCCTCACCCGGGGACAATGTGGGATTTCCCCTTACTTTCCTGCTTGGTGACAACAGTAACCAATACAAATAAAGGGGTGACTCTCCCCAATAGCAACACTGACATTGATAACCTGAAGGGGGGTTCAAGCCTTCTCCACATAGTAAACTTGGCTCATTAACAGCTATGAGGGATAACTGGGCTGCACATTCACAAGGCATCTCATAGATTCACATGAGGCGAATGGTCCCAATCCCATCACAGACTGCAGATTCACCCCTGGGGTCCCCATTAGAGCCACATTATGAGCAGGACGGAAAATAGCATAGGCAGGGAGGCCCCACCATAGAACATGCAGGTGATGTCCCTGGCGGGGTGTGAGCCGACAGCTCTAACGCCAGCACAAGGGGGGGGGGTGTATATTTGTTGGAGAAAACCTACATCCGAGTGACATGGGAGGGGGTCAGCGGGAACATGGGCCCTGCTACCTTCATTCATTCTTTCGGCCCTGGAGACCGCGTTCATTCCTCACCTGGACATCCTCATTCCTCAGCTCGTCAATAAGAACCGCAATAGGATACAACGAGTCGTCTCCATCAGCTCCTGCCATCTTGACACCGGCTTCAGCTTCACTCACTTCGCCCACTTGCTCAGGCCTGCTTCCGCCTAAGAAACATACAGAACGAACGGAAGGGGGAGTTAGTACCGGAAGTGACGTAGCGGGCGTAGTCGGAATCTACAGGGAAGGTATAGGAATGCCTTACATGTATGGACACCCCCACTCTGAGGCCGCAGAGTTACGTCAGTGCGGCGGATGGGTGGAGAAGTGCCGCGCATGCGCGCACAGTCTTGCGTGCTTTTTTTGCTACTGTACTGAGCTGTGTCAGTCAGTGTAGGGATTTGTCTCCGGGTGTTGGTCAGGAGCGGATTGGTTTGTTTTGGGACTTTCCTGTATTGCAAGTGGAAGCTACTGGTTGGCTTTTATCAAATTTGTTCATAATATGGGAGACAATGGGGGGAATTTAGCAAAATCTGGAGCAGTTGCCCTGGGCAACCAATCAGCGTTTCTCTAGTCTGTTCAGTTAAGATTTGAAAATGAAAGAGAGAAGCTGATTGGTTGCAACTGCTCCAGATTTTGTCTGCTCCAGTTATGATAAATTCCCCTCAATGTAAAACTACCTTTGCAATGCCCCCCCCCCCTCCCTGGGGAAGACATGTCAATCTACATGTACATATGTAAACGTCAGGACTGGATGGGCAGAAATACATTAGAATAGCTCCAGTAGAAGTATTTCATCTGTAGATTTTGCTGTTTGCCTGGAATTCAGTTTTAAAGAGAAACGTTACCCCTGCAGTATCTACATCCTCCCTTACCTCTACCTCCCCACCATCTCCAAACATCCCACGCGTGCACAGATGAGCCGTATGTCTCAAGACCTTGAAAAGGATCAGAAAGAAGGGCGCCGCACTGGTCAGATTACAGGGTGCATAAAAGGCTTAAAGTGACATTAAACCCTCAGATTTTATAACATAAACCAATACTGTAATGTGCGCCTTACTGTAATCCATGGTTGTTTACCTTCTCTTTGCTGCTCTTCCTTTTAAATCTGTATCTGTTCTCATGCTGGGCAGAACTTCTGTTTTGCAGCAGACTGCCTTGTCTCTGGAATGGCTACATGGTGTCTATGTGTAGGTTCACAACCTGAGCCAGCACTACAGGAAGAGGCACTCAGCTGCAAAGGGAAGTTCTCCCCAAGCATGAGAAGACATGAGGATTTAAAAGGAAGAGCAGCAAAGAGAAGGGAAACTACCATGGCTTATAGTAAGGCGCACATTACAGTATTGGTTTATGTTAAAATATCTGAGGGTTTAATGTCACTTTAATATTTAACATTTGCTCAGATCCATAAACTGCCAACGCGTTTTGGAGGTAAAACACATCTCCCCTCTTCAGGGCTCAGAACAATGCAGTATAAAGTGAAGGGCTCAGAACAGTGATACCGGAGAATACTTTATGCTTTGAGACTAAAGGGGGTGTCCTGGGACGTAGGAGCAGTGAGTGGACTCTGACCAGTGTGGTGCCCTTCTTTCCCATCCTGTTCGAGTATTTTGGGTATCCTCTGTGGTGTGCCTGTTTTTTTTGGAGCCGCCTCCCCATAACCAGCGAGCTCTTTGCAAAGTCTCTGAAAACTGTCTACCATAAGAACAGCCAAACATGGCAATGCCTCTGAAATCTTTCCTCCTTTGAGGTATTTGGAACCTGGGAGAGACTTGCGGCACATGTGCAGACACACGGGTGACTCCTGCGCATGTGCACAGATTCCGCTGCTGTCTGGTACCTTGCAGGGGCTTGTAGCATCCGTGCGCATCTTCCGTGTGTGCGCCGATGTGCCACCTGTCTCCGCCAGATCCCGGAGACCTGCGGCAAATCTGCACGTGTGTAATCTCACAACGCGCCTGCACCCCTGACTAAAGCAATGCCCTATGGGATGTGACGTGGCAATCCCAGGAGGCAACAGGGGGTGTCCCTATGTAGTTCCCGCCTAGGTGAGGAAGCGGGAAGTGCTACAAAGGTTTTGTAATCCTGTAAAACAGGGATGGCCAAACTGCGGCCCTCCAGCTGTGGTGGAACTACGAATCCCATGAGGCTTTGCCAGATTCTCACAGCCACAGACATGACTCCCGGAGAGAGATGCTTCATGGGATTTGTAGTTTCACCACAGCTGGAGGGCCAGAGTTTGTCCATCCCTGATGTAAGAGGATGAGGGGGGAGGAACTGGAAAATAAATAGTTTCTGACATGGGTGAAGGTCCGCCTTAGGTACAGGTTATATCTATTTTCAATAATAAAGCTAGATCAAATACACATTGCCAGGAAAGTATGTCTTTACATTGTTGCCCAAACACAACCCTCATGTTTCTGAACAGCTCCAACTCTATCAGCTCAGCTTCCCTGAACGTCCTGTCCAGTACAGAGCAGTCTCCAGCAACTATCCATTTACTAGCTTGGAGAAGGGAGGACAGAGGAGGGGAGCAGGGGCGTTTCTTGCCTTGCTGTGTCTGTGTGTTTATGGAGACACACACAACTTACTAGAACATACAAGGATGGCTCCATAGGACCCTGCAAGGGAAAAGAGCCACCCTAAAACAGGATATCAGGACCAGTGCTCAGGGGACCAGCCGATTCTGCAGGAAATTAAAACTTTTAAACATCAAGGGGCAGCATCCATTGTAAGTGATTTAGCCAGCATTTGACATAGCCTAAAAATGAGTTAATACAGAGCTGGAGAAATCCCAGGAGCCAGGTCGCCAATGCTCCTTAACTACCTCTGGGCCGGCCGTTGGATAAAAACGGCCGGCCGGGAGCTCTCTAGATGAATACAGACGCTGAATACTGAAAAATGGCTTGGCCAGGAAGGGGGTCTAAACACCTGGTCATGAAGCAGTTAAGAATGATAGCCGGCGCCTAACTTTAAAGGGTTATTAAACCCTCACGTTTTTTGCAGGTATTCCTCACTTAACGACTGAGTTCCGTTCCTACGACCAGGTCGTTAACCACTTGTCACTCTCCAGCGTCTGAAGCTGGAGAGTGACATCAGAATGCGGAAGTGATGTGATATTATACACCACTTCCGCATTCTGGCAGCAGAGAGCGGACCGGAGGGAGCTCGTGTACCGACCTCCCTCTGATCCCCTGTGACAGAGGCGCCATGCTGATCCCAGGCACAGCAGAGCCCGGGACCGGCGTGACTGCGGGAGGGGGCGCGCGTAGGGATGGGGGGGACACAGGCCGGCAGCTCATACAAGCGATCGCTTGTATGTTAACAGGCATTGGTGCCTGTTTTTAAATCGCAGGTGTTTCCCGCTCGCTCACAGGTGGTTGCGCCTGAGCGGACGTCTAAGGACGCCCGCTCAGATCTAGAGAGCTCTCGGCCGGCCATTTTTTTACAACGGCTGGCCCTGAGGTGGTTAAACGAATTAGTCGTTAAGTGAGGAACTCTATACAGTACTGTACTGCATCAGTACAGTACTGTATAGTGTTGCAGATGTACAGTACTGAACTGTACATCGGGCAATAAAATACTTACCGGAACCCGCAGTGAAGAACGGAAGACATCACTTCCACCGGCGAGACATCGCACTGACACGCAAGGTCAGAGGACGGTCGTAAGTGCGAGTGGTCGCAAAGCAGGTAAGTCGGTAAGCGAGGAATGTCTGTATATCTACTGCTAGCAAGCACTAGATATATGCAAAAACATTTTAAAAAGGCTTTAAACTTACCTGTGTCTTCGCCGCGCGCTCCCGTCCGAACATCTGAAGAGTCTCGGGCGTCCGCAAAGGATCTTGGGGAGGGCACATGCGCAGCTCAGATGTTGGGCCGGGAGACGAGAGACACAAGGTAAGTCTATGGAGCAGCGTGCACCCGCACAGGCACTGTGGGACACAAGCGAAGAGGAGGACAGAGGAGTCAGCGCTGGATCGGAGACCCGTACCAGCGCTGGAGGGACAGCTGAAAAGGACAGTAATGAAGGAGATGATCGGGTTAAAGGGCATCATTTAAGGTAAGTCCTCACACTAACATTGGGAGGGTGGAAAAAATAGCCTTTAATGTCACTTTTTTTTTTAGGCAATCATATTGAAGTATTTTGGGGCCAAACACACAAATCTTCCCCCAAAAGAAGCTTGTGTACTTTTTTAGAGGAGCTTCAAGCAACACTCCGCTCGGGTGTGAAGGGCAGTATTGAATATGATGGAAATCCTAGAGTCAAGCATTGAAACGCTTCTAGGGAAGCTTAAAAACACAAGTGTGAACAGGGCCTCTGTGTGAGAGCGGTGCAAGTCCTCAGACAGGCAGAGCAACACTAGGCAACCAGACACGGTTACAAATCGAGCAAGAAGTGCCGTGTGTATGGCAAGAGGCCAGGGCAGGCAAAAAGAAGTGCGGTTGGACAGGCAAGGAGCTGAGGCAGGCAGCAGACAGGAGCGTATTCCAAAGTAAAGGCTGGGGTCATTCTGTTGATCGGGCACTGGGTGGAAGTTCAGAGTTGCCTATATCGGTAATGATGAGGGTCAAGTGTTGGCTGCAGAGTGTCCTTGCTGCACTGCACAGTAGCGGGTACCGAATTGGTCATTAGACAAATTTTGTTGATTTGTGTGCATGTGTATACCGTAGTCCAACAATATACCTGCGTATAGTTATTTTATTTTCGAGCTGCGTTTCCACGTTTGTCTCTTGCATGAATCTAAATTGCAATAGTTAAATTATTGCACATTTTTGAACGTAGGGTATATCGTATACACATGGTATACTGACATTACAATGAGTAAGCGTTGTCACCCTTGGACAGGAAATGTGTTAGTGGTTGGGGGGGGGGGGGGGGGAATTGCCTTTAATGTCACTTTAAGATTTTCTCTAGTTGTCAATTGAGCAGGTTCCTGGATTGGACAAACTAGCTCAGCAAATCAACATTCAGAATAGGTTACAATGGTAAGGGTTACACCGCATCATACATTCCTCTCTGACATCCTACATTTCTAAAAAGCAAGAATACTATTGAGGGACACGTGTCCTCCAACGGCTCTCTTTTTTAATAAAGTGAATGAATATAGCTGAGCTAGGGGAAACCTTGATTCAAGTCCGTAGACCCAATCCAAGGCACAGGGTGGGATAAACTCAGGAAGGATTGGTGGGACTGACTCCAGAATTTCATATTCATTTCTCCACCTCGGGAGAGTTAAGAGGAGATTG